GTGGGTTTGGGTGGGTGTGGGTGTGGGTGTGGGTGTGGGTGTGGGTGTGGGTGTGGGGTGTGGGTGTGATTGTGGGTGGGTGTGGGTGTGGGGTGTGGGTTTGGATATGGGTGTGGGTGTAGCTGTTCATATTCTCTTCATCCACACTGGCATCAACACCCACACCCTAAAGATGTTACTCTGTCAAAGAAGAGAAAATCTCTTTTTCCTACAACTGATAAGAGAAAATGAATTCTTTTACATGTGTGGTAAATAAATAACCGTTCATGGAATACTTTTGAGAAGAAATTAAATTAAGACTGAGGGCTTCTCTTCAACTCTTTTTCGAGTTAAATACATGTTTTACATGATGATTAAGTTAATAATTTACTGTTTATTAAACGAAATATGCAAACATTGAAAAAAATTTATTCTCCATTAATTGAACAAGATGAAAAACGAAAAATTAATTTAACTTTAACTAAACAACAAAAACAAACAACAGAATTAAGTTGTTGAGGGAATCTCAAGAAGTCGATAATACAGCAAATGATGAAGACAGTGATGATGAAGTGATGTAGAGAAATCTCTCAATCTTTTTTTCTGTTATGTGTTCAAATATTAATATATGTAGGTACTGGAAATAACCAATTAAACATAACCACACATTTTCTTCTATAAAATTCTTACGATTTTTATCAAATTTTTCTACAACTAGATCAAAATTATAATCGTTTGATAATTTTCATTATGGTTGATGATCACTTAACTATTACTTGGTGTTCTTACTTATTCAGTGTGGAGTTTTCTGATCAAAATCGGACGATTCTGTAGCAAACCCAGGATTATCATGATTAATAATTTCAACTATACTGTAAAATAATCCGATTTCAATCAGAAAACTTCATACCGATTAATCAACAACATGAAATAATAGCTTAGTCGTGACCAAAAATTATCAATCAATTATATTTTTAATATTTTTGCAGAAACACCCGATGAAAATCGCAAAAATTTGTTACTGGGTTTCATATAGAGATAAAAAAATTCGGGACAAGGATTTTTTCTATATTGTCCCGTCTCGAAAATTTTTCGGAACAGTCCCGAATGTTCCGCGGGACGGGACATTTCGGGACTGTCCCGCAGGACTCTAATTGATTTACGTAAAGCTAAGTGAAATATATTCTAAATGAATGTTTTTTATTGTAAATATATTTATGGTTCTTATTGTAAATAGTTCAAAGAACTCAACATATTCATCCAATAAAATGGTCGATGAGAAAATGAATCTAGTTTTAATTGATATATTAATGATAATTTTTAGATTTAAAACTTCAAATAAAATCAAATAAGATAATCTTGCTGTCTTTTAGTATTTATAATTCTATACATTACTATATACAACATAAAAAATTAAATAGTATGAAAAAGTTTGAATTCAATTGGGAGCACAATTAGTATTATTGAATTCAAAACAGATAATCTATTTCAACAATAATATCAATGAAAATACCTCTAACAAAACATGCGGGTATAGATGCAAACAAGAATGGCAAGGATATCCATAGTTCATATTAATCAAAGCTTTTAGTATATTCTGCCACTAGGGATATAACCAGAAGTTTTAGATCAACAGATAAACTTTGCTTGCATCGAAGAAAAGCCAATCAAAATCAGCAATGTCAAATTTCTATTAATCAAAAAAAAAATCAATCAGGTTCAGATCTTTAGCATCAAGTCAGGTATGTTTTAGCCTATTTTTTATGTCAGTGTTTTATAACATTTCTAGTGGAGATTTAAGTATTAAAGTAAATATCACTCTTATGCACTTACACATATAAATTGTAAAACTTACGTATTTTTTCGAAGAAAATAGTAAGTGTAAGTTTTAAGTTCGAAGTATAGCGGTTTCCTCTCTCCCACCCTGTTACAGACCTCAGCAAACGCGCATAGACAACTTTCGATTCTATATAATATATGAATGTATTCATAAATACTCTAAAAAAAAGCTATTTTGTAATTTAAAAATCAGGCACCAGGATATCAAGTTTCAAAAGATATACATGAATTCCATTTTTCACCTCTGTTGGAGCTGTGCTAACAAACTTGAGGGTAAGGTATGGGCTTGTGAATGTGTGTTGTAATCTTCTATTTTCTCATAAACACACCCATACCGACATCCGCACCCCACACACCCTAACCCTTCAATTGATTCAATTATTGTTCGTTTTCGATAAAATCTCATATTTTTTTCGTTTGATTGAAAATGACCTGATACGAGTGTCGAAACGTCTAAAAATGTTTAAATGTGTTTTATCACTGTTATAAAAGATTTTTGTTATAATTCACACACATCCTTTTATATTCCAAATGTATACTCGAAGGCGGTAACCACTTTTCGTCCTTGTTTTTTTTTACGGACATCGGTCAGAGTAGTTCGTTCCGAACTCCAGTTTCTTCGAAACAGTCCGGATGTTCGGAATGAAAAGTCCGGAAGATCGGAATGAAAAAGACCGGATGTTCGGAATGAAAGTCGTCCAGGTGTTCGTAACAGAAAATACAGGATGTTCGGAACATAAAATGACGGCTGTTCGGAATAAAAAATGACCGATGTTCGGAATGTAGAATGCTGAATATTTGGAATGAAAACTACGGATGTGCGTAAGAGTGAATGACTGATGTTCGTAAGAAAATACTCCGGATGTTCGTAAGAGAAAAGAATTGGTTTTTTTATAACAGTTTATTTTCGTTTATTTCATAGTATAGTCTTTAACAAAAAAAAAGACAACAAAAATTTATACAAGTGAGAGAATAAGTAACTTTTATAAGAGAAAAAAATGTAATGTCTAATATTTTTTGGCAGCATGTCTTGTTTTTTTCTTTTTTGGAATTTGCTTCATATTGTCATCATCTGTTTCATCTTCTTTTCGTTTTCTTTCACTCGATGAACTGCTGGCTGAAGATTTATGAGAATTATTAACAAATTGAACTCTACACTATTTTAAAAACTCTAACTGAATGTACAAGAAGAGGTCGCTACACTCAACGACTTAAAATATACTATACGAATAAATTGTTTTCTATGTTAAAAAACATACACCAAAATTCATTCTGAACATCCGTCATTTTATGTTCCGAACATCCAGTATTTTATCGTCCCGAACATCGGTCACTTTTTGTTCCGAACATCCGTCATTTTATGTTACGAACATCCTGTATTTTTTCGTTCCGAACATCTGGACGGTTTTCATTCCGAACATCTGGAAAAACGATTTTATGTTCTATATCCGATTTCGAACATCCGGTTATTCGACCGGATGTCCGGAAGAGCAAGGACGAAAAAAGACACACCCACTCGAAGTTTTATAGTATCTCGATGTTCCTAAGCTGAGATCATTTTTTGAGGGATGGGTCTTATTACAATTCTAGCATATTCTGAAAATGTCATGCGATTTGAATATATCTGCTTGATCTTATAAATACATATATGTTGAAACTATTTTCTTTTTTTGCTTTTATGCTTATAAAATTGATAGTAAACGTATGCAACTCATAGTTTTATTTCATATAAATATTTTTATGATACATATGAAATTTAAAAAAACATTGTTCGAAGATTTCTTTTTTCTAGAATTGGATAGTATATTAATTTATTTTTTATAATGAGATGTTAAATTTTGGTTTTCTTCTACTGAATAAAGCCATTCTTTTAAATTATCCATATGTATAAAATATTCAAGAGCATATGCAACTGCTTTGGTTAGTTTTTCATAAGCAAATTTATTTATATTCCATATTGTATCACATGATTTATGATAACATTGATCAAATGCAATATTTGGCATACAATATGGATCAGGACCAAGATAAGATGCATAACGATCACATTGTTCTTTTGTTTTTATTCTATCTGCACCTGAAAAAACTCCTCCTACAGGCATATTACCAATTAAAAATGGTAGATAATCACTAGTCGCAGTTGTTAGATTGACATTATCCCATGGTAGATTTTGATCATTAAACCAATTACGAAATAATGTAGTAATTTTTTTACTAGCAAAAATATTTTTCGTAAGTGTTCCATTTATTATAGTATCAAGATCATAAATTCCAAACATATAATTAGGTGAAGCTAACATATCGAGATTAAGATAAAGTAAATGATCATGAAATCTTTCGCCAATAATTATTGATGTTTTTGCTTGCCTAACATATACAAATGAACCAATAAGACCAAGTTCTTCTGCACCCCACCAACAAAATCGTATACGATATTTCAAGTTTCTATACATTGATGTTCGAAATAGAGCTACAGCTAATGCAAGATTAGCTGCACTACCACTACCTTTATCAAACGAAAAAAAACAACAACAAAATACTTGTATATTAGTATTTATTTTTAACTCGAAAACTAACCATTATCATTAATACCAGGTCCATTTAAAATACTATCACTATGGCTACCAATAATAATAGTTTGAGTTATGTCTCCAATCGGAGTATCAGCACAAATATTTTCTACTGAATATGGTTCTGTTTTAAGTACATCAATAATAAAACGAACACTTGTATTTGTTGCTGAATTATTTAATGATTCAATAAGTTCTTGAGCAAGATTAGGTGAAATAGAAAGCGTTGGTAAAGTATTAAATGGACCGAGACTTGTAGGAAGAGAATCATTACAATTAGATGATCGACTGATATTATATAAAAGAAGACCTTTCACATGATAATGACGAGCTAAAATTGGCTTTAAAAAAAAATCACAAGCACCATGTTTAACAAGTGCTATTCGACCATTTGGTGATGGTTTTGCAGTAAGCCAATCTTTTTCAGAACAACCAAAATTTGGAATAAGTGTTATATTAATAAAATCTTTTAAATTAATATCTGTAGAATATTCGACATGTGAAAATTCACCTTTTGAAAGATCATTTGAATATGTACGATTTATAATTGTATTATCAATTGAAGTAAATAATATAGGATTATTACCAAGTTTAAATTGTCTTACAGGAAAAGGAGTTCTTTTAATATAATAATTTGTATTAGTAGAAAGATAATCTGCTATATAATCAATTGTTCGTTGAAAACCTTTTGTATTAATTGATCGACTACCATTTTCCATTGTAGCTATATGATTAAATTCTTGAAGATGCTTCATTAGTTCATTTATATCAATAGATTCAATTAAACTTAAATTCAATGATATTTGATTTACTAATTTTAATTCTTCTGTATTATTAATATTTGTTGATTGATTAGATCCTCTAGTTATTATAATTAAAATAATAGAATTTAAAGCAATCGAAATCAAAACAAATAAACCAATAAGAATATTTATTGTTACTAAACATGATCGACTTGCTTCCATTACTAAACAGAAATGTGTTATAATGTACGATGGAAAAACAACGGTACTACATCATGTCAAACTCTATTTCTTTTCAATAGACAGTTGTTGAAAGGAACCTATTTCTACCAAAAGAGAGAGTTTTTTTTCTGTTCTTTCGAATCGTATATAACTTATTATTTTTTTTTATAACACACTAGTAAACAGAACGATTCTCGGTACTTTTTCTGTAAAAGAATACATAAAATGCCAACTCTCGTATCTGTTCTACAGACATTCTCTAAAAAGAAAAATTTTCTTATTTTTGAAATGATGTATGAGATTCATATTAAATAAGAAAGCCAAATACCTGCAGAAAAAATTTTTAATAGTCAAAAATACTTTGTAAATAGTATCATGAATTATTGTCAAGCATGCTGTTGTTCATAAAAAGAGATATAACTACAGTCCTTCACGAACAAAAATAAACCGCCTTGTTGCATTTTATTTTTTCATCAGATAATAAACTGTATATATCACAAGATCTTCAATCTACAAAAGATAGCTTGTTTTATATATTCGCACTTTTTGTTTTCAAAATGTACAAAATTTAAAGCCACTAGTTTTTGACTTTTCGCAAAAATAAAGAAGATTCTGATATCATAAGCTGAATAGACTAAAAACGAAAACTGTAACTAAAAAGTAAGAGATTCATTGTAAATGGTAGAGCTTTTCACGATGCATCTATCGGTATATTTTGTTCTTTAATAAACCATATTAGATGATGAAAAAAACTACGAATTGATTAGGTACCAAAAACTACTTGTTTTTCGAAAAGTCAAAAACTAGTAGATTCGAATTTTGTCGATTTTGAAAACAACAAGTGTAAATATAAACTAAACTATATTTTGTAGATTGAAGATATTGTGATATATACAGTTTATTATATGGTGAACAAATGAAATGCAAAAAGGCTGTGTTTTTTCTGTCCGTGGATGTGTTTTTTAATGAGAACCCAAAGATCTAATCTTTGCTGAATTCACAAAAGAATTGATTTACTCTTAACTAATAGCAAAATTTTATTGAATATCTTCCGTATGAAAAGTGCAAATATAAACGTCTCACTTTTTTTTTGTACCGTTGACAAATATGTTAAAAGTTTGATTATTTACAGTTCGAAAGAAACAAAATAGAGTCTTAACATCTTGTGTTAGTTCTATTAAAAGTTTAATTTAATTTATTTTATACAATTCGTGGTAAACAACAACAAAAATTTTTATATGAAAACCAACATGTATGACCATCACCTGTTGTACTTTGTAATGTTGCAGCACATCCACGAGGGCATGAATTATTAATAAAACAAAATGGAGCAGTTCCATACCATTTACATAATCCATTTACAGATTTTGAAATAATTAATAAAAAAAAAGAAGAAAAAACAAATCTCATCGAGATGTTTAATGACACCATTTTTAATTTTAAAAATTATCTAGTATATTGAAAAATAAATAAATATCTATTTAATGGATACAGTTACAGGATTTCTAATTTTTATATAAATGTTTTATTCATATTTAAATGTATTTCAGGATGTCTTCTCATTTTATCGACGAAAATAATACTATTCCAGGGAGTATCGCTCTTATTTCAAATAGAACACATAGTAAATTTTATACCAAATGAAAGCTCATCAAAAATGTAGTTTATTAATACTAAATAGTGAGGGTTATAAAGACTTTTTAATGTCACGTTTAAGAAAGTTTCATAAATTTTATACTTTTTTTAAAGGTGGAAAATTAAGATATCACTAAATCAAAAACGGAGTAAAATTTTTTACATGATGTGATAGAGTTCGTCGAGCTCTACAAAACTGTGTATGTTAGAAATTTGTCAAGCCATCTTTTTGAAACAACAAGTTCAAAAATTCTTTCTTTTCACATTGAAGAAACACTCTTGGTTTTTGCAATACAAGTAATCTTTTTCATTATTTTTATTACCTTAGACATATTGAAATATACTCATTAGACGTATTTTATCACGCTTTTATTGAAAAAATCGAGTGCGTTTCTTCATGAACTTTTTCTCTTAGAAAAAGGGCTTAACAAATTTCTAGCATTCAGTTTTCCTACAACTCGACGAACTCTATCACATCATGTAAAAAATTTCACTTCGTTTTTTGATTTAGTGGTTCAGCAATTTTCTATCCCAAAAAAAGTATCGCATTTCTGAAAGTTTTTCAAGCGTGACATTAAAAAATCTTTATAATCCTTACTATTTAGTATCAATTAATCTCATTTTTGACGAGCTTTCATTTGGTAGAAAATTATAGCGATATTTCATTTCCAATCTTGTACAATATCAGATTTGCACTTAGGAAGTTTTGCTATGAAGAAAGAAATACACTATACAATGATATATCTTCATACACAATTGTTATCATTAGTAGAATGGTCTTTAGCTTACGTTCTATTCTTTACACAAAGTTAGTCATATAAAACTAATGCAATTTTAATGGTCGTCGAAGAAACAATCGACAGTAGGAGGGTTAGTATCATCGACTTAATTCAAATATCGTTACTTCCAGGGCAAAATTATATGTGGTTATTGATGAATTAAAAAAACCAATGCGAAAACAACACCAAAAAGTCTCATCGAAATAAAAAATTTATGTATAGAAATCAATTAATACCTGATTTGATGAAGTTAGAAGAAAATTGCAATAAAATTAGTAAGACAATTGATAAAAAAATCAAAATAATATATTTTTCTTCAGACACTTATAAACTGTTATGAAAACTATTTTCTATTTAAATTCTTCATAGATAAAATCTCGATGAAACGGAACCAAACCGTATTTCACATATGTATATGGTGCTTAATAAACATCACACCTTTCAATGTTTACTTTTATGTCGACGTGAATATCTGAAATCTTTATCATACATTTACCACTAGGAAAAATAAGTTATTATTGTGATTAAAAAGTAAAAGACATATTCTGAAAGCTCATGAAGGTTATTTATTACCAAAATAAATTGAATACAATGATGGTATTCTCATGTGTACATACTCCGAGACTTAATTTTCTCATGATTATCACCAATGCAATTGTAGAGTTTTGAACCTGTACATTTGCTGAATGTCTTAGAGAGTAATGCGAAAAATTCG